GCTGCTGATGATGATGATGATGATGATGATGATGATCATGATGATCATGATGATGATGATGATGATGATGATGATGATGATGATGATGATGATGATGATGATGATGATGATGATGATGATGATGATGATGATGATGATGATGATGATGATGATGATGATGATGATGATGATGATGATGACGATGATGATGATGCTGATGATGATGATGGTGGTGGTGGTAATGGTGGTAATGATGATGATGATGATGGTGATGATGTGATGGTGATGATGCTGCTGATGATGACGATGATGATGATGCTGATGATGATGATGATGATGATGAGGATGATGATGAGAGGAGAGGAGGAGGAGGACGGGTAGGAGGGAGGAGGAGGAGGAGGAGGAGAGGAGGAGGAGGAGGAGAGAGAGGAGGAGAGGAGGAGGAGGGAGGAGGAGGAGGAGGAGGAGGAGGAGGAGGAGGAGGAGGAGAGAGGAGGAGGAGGAGGAGGAAGAGGAGGAGGAGAAGAAGGAGGAGGAGGAGGGAGACCAAGGCGGGCTGCTGGGCCCCGCGGGGCCGTCGAGACACGGCTCGGGGTGGGAAGCGCCGGGGCCCTGGGGACTCCGAGGCTCTCTGCGCTCCACGCACGGCGGCGGCCCTGGCGCGGGCCCTCGCCAGGGAGCCGCTGCCACCACCTGCGGCGCTCCAGGAAGGGCGTCGCCTCCGAGGATCGCAGGACCCAAGACGGAGGTTTTTACCTAACAGCGAAGACTGATAGGTTTCTAGTGGTGTCAAAAGAAAGCATCATGACTCCTCAGGGGGGTCGGGGCGGGACCCGGGGCGGCTGCCGCCGAAGCCCAAATCGCTTGGGACATCCTCGCAAAATCGCTCTTGGCGCTGCTAGAACTCCATTCCCGGCGTACATTTTGGATGCCCGGAGCCAACTGTAGGCCACTTCGTGGTCTTCGAGTTCCCAGAACTCCATTCCCGGGCCACATTTTGGATGCCCGGAGCCAACTGTAGGCCACTTCGTGGTCTTCGAGTTCCCAGAACTCCATTCCCGGGCCACATTTTGGATGCCCGGAGCCAACTGTAGGCCACTTCGTGGTCTTCGAGTTCCCAGAACTCCATTCCTGGGCATGATTTTGAATGCCCGGAGCCAACTGTAGGCCACTTCGTGTTCTTCGAGTTCCCAGAACTCCATTCCCGGGCCACATTTTGAATGCTGAGGCAGGCTGAGGCTGAGGCTGAGGCAGGCTGAGGCAGGCTGAGGCTGAGGCTGAGGCTGAGGCTGAGGCCTGAAGGCAGACTGAGGCTGAGGCTGAGGCTGAAGCTGAGGCTGAGGCTGAGGCTGAGGCAGGCTGAGGCTGAGGCTGAGGCTGAGGCTGAGGCTGAGGCTGAGGCTGAGGCAGGCTGAGGCTGAGGCTGAGGCTGATGCAGGCTGAGGCTGAGGCAGGCTGAGGCTGAGGCCGAGGCTGAAGGCAGACTGAGGCTGAGGCTGAAGCAGGCTGAGGCTGAGGCTGAGGCAGGCTGAGGCTGAGGCAGGCTGAGGCTGAGGCTGAGGCAGGCTGAGGCTGAGGCTGTGACTGTGACTGCCGTTGCCACTGCGACCGTCATCGCGAATGCGACTACGACTGCGAGAACAGCAGAATTCTACAACTGGATTCTCATCTGAATCTTAAGGGGAATGCTTCCAGATATGCTCCTACACATCGCTGTTAGGTTGCTTTGCCGGGATACTTCTCGATTTTTGGCCTCTGGCGGCCCTCGCCGGGCCCCGGGACCGTCAAAAAACGACTCAGGATGAAAAGCCGGTCCTGGGGAATGGGTCGAGACTTCCAGGGACCCCGTATCGAAAAAATCACGACATCGGATCTCTGGGGAGCTGCCATCTCTTCCGCGGCGGAAGGGCGGCGGAAGTGAGACGAGGCCGCCTCCGCCGGCGGAGGCCATCGGAGGGGCGGCGGAAGGCGGCGGAAGTACAAGGTGCGCCCCCAAGGGATGAAGGTGCGGTTGGTTGGGGGCGGAAAAGAGGGGGGTGATGACTAGGGGGGGGTGGATATCATGGCGCGGGCCATGATATTTCCCCAGATTTCATGGCGCCTCTTCTTGTTTCATTACGTCCCTGGCCCCCCCGCTGGGCCGCGCACATGCCGCCGGTCATGATTTGCACCCCCCCTCTTGGACACCCCCCTCTTTGCCGCTCCCGAGTTTGGTGCAGGGTGTCCGGAACCCCCACGTGTCGCCGCGCCGCCTGCTCCGACGCGCGGCCTTGCGTCTCGGGGAGGGCGCCTCGGCCACCAGGGCAGACTCCGCCTCGGACGCGGTGGGTGTGCCGTGGGGTTCGCCGCAGTGCCGGCTTCGTGTACGTGGGGCGCGGCACGCAGGGTTTGCCGCGGGTTTGCCGTGGGGTCGGTGTCGTCCACTTGGGCGCGTCGAGAACAAGTGCCGCGGCGACCCATGAAGCATAATTGAGCAGCCAAACGCGACTATGTGTAGCATCTTCGTGACATGGCAGGTGAC